TCTTTCTTTCCTTTTCTTTCCTTTTCTTTCTTTCTTAATGGAGTCTCACTCTTGTCACTCAGGCTGGAGTGCAGTGGCACGATCTTGGCTCACTGCAACCTCCGCCTCCTGGGTTCAAGCAATTCTCCTGCCTCAGCCTCCTGAGTAGCTGGGATTACAGGCCCGTGCCACCACATCTGTCTAATTTTTGTATTTTTAATAGGACGGGGTTTCACCATGTTAGCCAGGCTGGTCTTGAAATCCTGAAATGAGGTGATCCACCCTCCTCAGCCTCCCGAAGTGCTGGGATTACAGGCATGAGCCACCGTGCCTGGCCTTAGGTGTTTTCTGTATATTGATTAATATATTTAATTCCCTCAACAACTCTTAGGTGTTTTCTGTATATTGATTAATATATTTAATTCCCTCAACAACTCTTTGAGGTAAGCACGGTCACTGTGCCCTTTTTACAGATGAGGAAACTGAGATCTAGGGAGTCAAGTAACTTCAGGGTTACACAGCAAATAAATACCAAATCATGGATTTGAACCCAGCCAATCTTACTCTGGAGACTTTCTCTTAACTGCCGTGTTGTACTCCAGTTCCAACCTGAGTGTGCTTTCTTGCCTTTGCTCCTGCTTTTCTCTTTGTCCACTCCCAACCAGCTGAAATGCTTCTATGCTAGGCCATTTTAAAAGCTGTAGACTGTAGGCAAATTAAATAGTTAAAATCTAGGAAGTCTCATCTCTGCCTAATGCTTACTTTGTGACATTGGGCTTGTTGCTTTTTACGTCTTTAAAATGAGGCCTGTTTATACCCAATAGAATTTTCTTCTTGCTTTTAGACAGAGTCTTGCTGTGTCATCCAGGATGGAGTACAGTGGTGCAGTCATGGCTCATTGTAGCCTTGAACTTTTGGGTTCAGTCTATTTTGCTACCTCAGCCTCCCAAGTAGCTGCAACTACAGGCATACACCACCACACCTGTCTCATAGAATTTTTTTTTTTTTTTTTTTTGAGACAGGGTCTCACTTTTGCCCAGACTGGAGTACAGTGGCCTGATCTTGGCTCACCGCAACCTGTACCTCTCTCAGCCTCAAGGGAGTCTCCTGTCTCAGCCTACTGAGTAGCTGGGATTACAGGTGCACGCCACTACTGCCCAGCTAATTTTTGTATTTCTAGTAGAGACGGGGCTTCAACATGTTGGCCAGGCTGGTCTCAGACTCCTAACCTTAAATAATCTACCTGCCTCAGTCTCCCAAAGTGTCGGAATTATAGGCGTCAGCCGCTGCACCCAACCAATAGAATTATTTTATGATTACATAGGTTGTATAACAGATGTATAGCATTGGTGCCTGACACATGATAAACTTTGTGAGGGTCTTTGGTTAGTTGTTTTATTGGTAAGTCATCTATAAAAGATACCTACCCTCCACATGTAATCAGTGTGCTACTTGTTCAGAGTGGGTCCATAAGGCTTACTTTTGGTTCGTTGTTTGTGTTTAAGAACCATTTTTAAATGTGTATTTTGTAATTTTGGGGTACAAATGCTTACCGGAGGATTTCTGTCTTCATTGTGTTTCAGTGACATTGAAGTGTAAGTCATAACGGAGATTTTATGATGCCTGAAAAGCTTACTGTAGAGTGTATCATATGACTTACTTAATTTATTTTCTTTATTTTTTTTCCCAGGAAATTTGGTGAGCGGCCTCCACCTAAACGACTTACTAGGTGAGCATTATATTTGTCAGCTTTTTACACACACATTTTATGAAAGTATGGATCCTGTTGTTTTAGAAATTATATTATGTACTCTTGAAGTCATTCAAATATTACTATCTAGAGTATAAACTTATTCTCATCTTCCCTTTCTTTCCTCTCTCCTCCCCTCCCCCACCAAAAACAGGAATAAAAGGATATAATTGAAAAGGGAAAATGAAACCTGAGAATTAGTCTTGAGTTTCCTGTAGTGAATACAACATGGATGGCAGGGTAGAGATAGCTTTCTATATCTCGCTATGGTTAGCCCATCACAATTTGTTGATTGCAGGCGAAATTTGAAAGTAAATGCTTTTAGGAAAGAATTTTAAGGAAAAAAAAATTTTTACCCATTTTAAGAAAACACAAGTTTTATCAATTCTTGAATATAAAAAGTTGTACAGTATACATTTTAATTATGAATGTTAAAAGTATTAGTCTTAAATTATTTAAAAAATTTCCAGCAGCCGGGGTTGTAAAATAAAGAGAGCTAGTTCTATAGCCATGTCCTATAGTCAGTACAAACCTCGCCTCTTTAGCAGTTTTTTTTTGGTGTCTTTGAAGCATGTGTATATATGTATATGCCTGTCCTTTTTCTTCATAAACTCAACTGAGATCACACTCTATCATTGTTCTACACCTTTTAACGCCACTTAACTGTGCATCTTCTACCTTGATATTTCCCTTTGATGGCTCCATGGTTTTTCATACAATTTTTAATTTAATATTTCACATTGATGACCATTTAGGTTATTTCCAAATTATCGCTGTTATTTTAAAAAGCTGTTACACTTAAAGAATGATGGCAACCTGCAGAAGGATACAAAGGACAGTTTGAAGGGGAAATCTGGGACACTCTGATCAAGATAAATAATGATAGTAGTAATGGATTAATTACCATGTAATAAAACAACAGCTTAGAAGTCTATACTGAGATAATTAATTCAGGATAAATATTATTTATTTGTATAAATAAAAATTATTTGTAATCAATAAATGGGATAAAGAGGATAGCTTTTCCTGACAGAAGCACGTTGCCTAATAAGTGTAGAAGGAATGTAAGGTTTTGACAACCTCAATAGACAAAAATCATCAGTGGGTGCTTCCATGACTGGGTTAATGTTTGATGATAAACACAATATTTACAGAGTCTCAAAGTATACCCTCACAAAATATGTATTTGATGATAATAGGGAAAAGTAATAACATGACAGTGGAGAAGCCTGTCAGACATCATCTTAATTATGTAAATTATGATCACCAGTAATGGACAAATAGATATCATGTGCATCCCAAGAAAGACACATGATCACTTTTGTGGTATTCTTGCCAAAAATGCATATAAGCTAAATCTAACAATAAGGAAACGTCAGACAGAAATAAATTGAGGGCCATTCTAGAAAATAAATTGTCATGTGTGCTTCCTAAATTTTAAGGTTATAAAATATAAAAGATTGAGAAACTCCTCTAGATTAAAGGAGACCAAAGACACAGAGCTATAGTTATCCTGAACCAGGAAAAAATTTTTTTCTTTTGCTATAAAGCTGGAGTTGCCAAATGTTTTCTGTAATGGATCAGATAATAAGCATGTTAAGTTTAGAGGGCCTCACTAAGTGTGTTAGGACTTCTAGACTCTGTCCTTCTATCCCCAAATCAGCCGTAGACAGTTTCTAAAAGAATCGCATATCTGTGTTCCAGCACAACTTTATTTACAAAAACTGGTGGCCCTCCTGATTTGGCCTGAGGACAGTGGTAGAGTCTCAGAATACCTACTCCACCCACCAGGGGTCCCCATAAAGGATTTCTGTGGGACAGCTGGCAAAATTTGAATAAAATCTGTAGATTAGGTATTAGTATTGAATCAGTGATAATTGTATGAAAGAACGTACTTGTTGTTAGGAAATAAACGCTGAAATATTTTGGATAAAGTAGTACTATATCCGCAGTGTGCTTTTAAATGATTTGAACATAATATGCAAATGAGGTGTAAAATGTTAGCCTTATGGAGGTCTGAGTGAAAGGAGATTAGGAATTCTTTGTACTACTTGTACTGCTTTTACAGCATTTCTGTAATCTCAGTACTATTTTGAAATTTAAAATATTTTTTTGAAAAAGCATTACATAAATATTCTAGGTTAAGTGAACTAGGAAAATATAGCTTGTCTCACAGGGCATGTAAATATATTTTTAATTACTTGTTTTTTATATATATATTATATATATAATCTGTTGAGTAAATTCTGGTAAGTGGAATTGCTATATTCATATGTGTAAACATTTTGAAATTTAAAATTTAACATTTTTATTTCATTACCAGCAAGAGTTAGAGTGACTGCTAATGATATATTTTGATGAGTAAGTTAGTTAATGTAAAATAACATTCTCTAAATATAACAATCAATACAGTAATAAACTTCATGAGGAAATTTGCCTTTCTTTCCCCCTAAATATATGCAGTAACTCCCATTTACTTTATCATTATTTTCCATTGTTTGCCTTTTAAACAGTTTCCCCTCTTTGGAAAACTTTAGTAGCTTTTAAGACTTTTGCTTCTTGCCAAGATGGAGTAACATGGGGTAGAATTACTCTCTGGCTTGGAGCAAAAACCTGGACAAAATACATAAAACAATAATTTTCCAGATACTGAACATCAGACATGGAAGGATAAGTGATTCCTGAGAAACTGGGAGTCCACAGAGGGCAAGACAGTTAGTAGGGCTGCAAAGTAGAGAGAAATGAACTGTACAAAGAGTTCCAGAGATCTGCAGAGGTTTCCTTTGAGTCTTCAGCTGAATATTGGTCAGCATGCTTGTGTAAAGAAACTACTCCATGGTGGGGACTGGGGAAAACCATCCAAAAAAAATTAGGGGGAACAATTTCTAAAATTCATTAGGGCTATGAATTGTGCCTGTTAACAGTAGCCAGAATGGAAAATCTCATAATTTATAGGGCATTCACTAGAGTGCTTAGAAGGGTTTTGTTTTAGTAGTAATATAAAATTGGCTACAGACTAAAGATGCTCTGTTTTCACCTGGCAAACTTAAAGAAGGATTGAAAGGATCAAACTTAACTGTGTACCAGAACAAAGCTCAAGACCATAGGAATAGAAAAATATCCAGCACTTAGAAGGGCAAAATCAAAATATGTCGGTCTTACAAAGGAGCAAGAAAATACCCATAACGAGAAAAAAATCAGGGAGTCAAAACCAACCCACAAATGACATGGTCGTGATAGAATTATTAGATAAGAACATTAAAACAGTAATTTTTTTGTTTTTTGTAAAGACAGGGTCTCACTATGTTGCCCAGGCTCACCTTGAACTCTTGGCTTCAGACAGACCTTCTGCCTTGGCATCCCAAAGCGCTGGGATTATGGGTGTGATCCATGGTGCCCAGCCTAAAACAGTTATTATATTTGTGTTCTCTATGCCCAAGATGGCAAGATCAAGAGCTGGGAAAATTTTTCTTTAAAGACTCAGATGGTATATATTTTAGGCTTTGTTGCCCATACAATCTCTATCATACTACCCACCTCTGTTGTAGTACAAAAGCAGCAGTAGACAATGTGTAAACAATTAAGAGTGTCGTACAGTGAAGTATAGCTTTATTTGTAAAATAGGTGGTAGATAGGATTTGGCCTACAGGCTATTAGTAGATACCTGAGCTAGAGGAAAGTTTAATAGAGACATAGAAGATGATACACACACACGCATGCACGCACACTCTCTCTCTTTCTCTCTCTCTCAAATTAAATCTCTGAAGATGAAAACTACAATATTTAAGGTGGAAAAAGATAAGATTAATTTCAGAATGAACAAAGAGTAGGTTAGTAAACATAAAGATGTGGCAATAGATGAAGCACGAAAAGAAAAAGTAAAAAAAAGTGGTGAGCATTATAATGAGCCATGGTTTATTGTCAAGTGGCCTAATATATATGTGGTTAGTCATTGAAGGGAGAGTATGATTAAAACAATATATGAAAAAATAATGGCAAAAATGTTCTAACTTGGAAATTAGTGAAAATTGTAAAACCACAGATCTAAGCTGGGTGCTGTGGTCCATGCCTGTAATCCCAGCACCTTGGGAGGAGTTCAAGATCAGCATGGGCAACATGGTAAAACCCTGTCTCTATCAAAAAGTTTTTTTTAAAAAGTTAGCTAGGTGTTGTGGCACATGCCTGTAGTCTCAGCTACTTGGGAGACTGAGGTGAGTAGATCACTTGAACCCAGGAGGCAGAGGTTGCAGTGAGCCGAAATCACACCACTGCACTCCATCTGGGTGACAGAGTAAAAAAAAAAAAAAAAAATCAGTTAATCCTGAGTACAAAAACTACCCAGAAGCACTCTAATCAAATTGATTAAAGTCAGTGATAAAGAAAAAAAAAAACAAACAACAGAAAACAAAAGACAGATTAGGCACAGAGGAACAAAGAGAGGAAGACAGCCGGTTTTTCATCTGAAACCTTGTTATGGATAAGACAGAGCAAGTGCTTTGAAGTGCTCAAGGGAGACCTATACTTGTCAGCCTAGAATTCTACACCCAGTAGATACAGACCTTTTTAGGCATGTTAAAAATTGAAAGAATTTACTGCAAATAGGCCTTAGCTACAGTGTTAAAAGAAATTCTCCAAGCCGAAGGACAATCATACTAGATAGAAATCCGATTCTGTGCAAATTACTAGTATCAAGAACAAGAAAGATGACATCACTACAGAGTCACAGATATTTTTGAAGGATAATAAGCAAATATTATAATTAACTTTTTACCAGTAATACTCAACTTTTGAAGAAATGCACAAATTTCTTGAAATTAACAAACTACCAAAGCTTACTCAAGAAACAGGTAACCTGAATGGTCCTATATCTTAGGAAATTGAACTTATAAACCTTCTGACAAAGAAAACTGTAGGCCCAGATGGCTTCACTGTTTAATTCTATATATTTAAGAAAAAAAAAATCTTAATTCTATACATAC